TAAAATATATATTTTAATTAATTATATATATATAATATATATATATATATATATATATATTGCAATATTGTAAACGTCATATATTACCAATCATGCCAATAAAGCTTATAAGATAGAGAAACTGATAGACAGACAGAGATGGATAGATAAATATAAAGAAAGAGTAAAGATATAAAATCAAAAGTAAAACATTTTTTTTTAATAATTTTAGATGATTGATAGATAGATAGATGGATAGATAGATAGATAGATAGATAGATAGATAGATAGAATTTATAAATAGATAAAAAAACAAAAGAAAGGAAAAATAAAGTATATTTTTAGTACCATTAAGATTTTTTTGTGACATTATTTAAATGGAAATTAAGCACAAGTTATTAATATAGATTTACAAAACTAACTAACTAACGCAAAAATAATTGAAATGATGTTGCCAAAAATGATGCTTACAGACGGACGAATGGACGGACAGATAGATTTTGTACCAACAACCAAACTGTCAGTATTTATATAAATCATCCACTAGAGGGCGGTATATACTCATGAAATCAGACTCTGCTCTACTGATCTGCTCTACAGCTAGAATGTGGCCTTCTTTGCTCATTTCATTATTCTGCAAATGTCAACAATACATATCTTATTCTATTTATAATATTGTGGCATTATGATGCAATATATTGTTACAGGAGATTATTTACTTTGTTACAGCGAATTTATGTCACATCCCCATAAATGGAATGGAATATGTATGTATGTCTAGAACTGCCTGTTGTTTAGTATCTATTATGTGAAACCCCATCCCACTATGTATAAGCACAGAGACAAACATAACTCACCCCAAAACGTTTTAGCTGGTTAAAGAGTCAACTACACCACTAATGTGTTCACAGAAGCCTCTCTCTCTTCACACACACACACACACACACACACACACACAGACACACACACACACACACACACACACACACACACACACTTGCGCACATGACCATCACTCTCAAGCCCTCCTTACTGTGTTGAGACTAAAATAGAGACTTTGTGTTCAGCGAGGGAATTCCTTATGAAAATCCTCTTAAAGTTTAAAACAGAGGACAAATGCAAACACCCTTTATAAATAGACTATTGCAGAACAAGCTTTGAAGAAAATCAAGAAAGTGATTGCAGTCTAACACTATATATACTGTATATATACACACACAGAAGCACCAATTCTTGAAACTGAAAGTTAAGCACTATCTATAATTATTTTATTACAAATAGATAGATAGATAGATAGATAGATAGATGGATAGATAGATGATAGATAGATGATAGATAGATAGATAGATAGATGTATATAGATAGATAGATAGATGATAGATAGATAGAAAGATAGATAGATAGATAGATAGATAGATAGATAGATAGATAGATAGATAGATAGATAGATAGATAGATAGATAGATAGATAGATAGATAAGATGATGGCTAGATAGATAGATAGATAGATAGATAGATAGATAGAACTTTCAATGATGTAATTCCAAAAACGATATTTTATAAAAAAAAAATAAAAATAAAAAAGTTATATAACTACTTACATGTAACTGCGTTACACAGTTTAATTACAAAATAAATGTAACTGTAATCCATTACAGTTACTGAGAAAAAAACGTAATGTAATTAAATTACAGCTTCTTATGAAAATGTTAACAATTACAAAGGGGGTTATATCTGAATATTTCTTGTATTAATATTTACTATTTCTTGCTATGATTTGAAATATGTAATTAATCTCAGAACAATCATAAAAGTAAAATGAGGTGCTAAAGTCTGATTTTGTGGTGGCTGTGCTTTAAATTATTATCTTAATTCAAGTGATGAAGGATTTTGAAAGTCTGACAGTAATCATTGTTGAGCACATGCTGTAAGGTTAACCCTGCATGGCGTAAATGTTTGAAAATGATCAACAGTTGAAAACATTCATTAGAAATTTAGAAAAGTAATCAAAAAGTAATCAAAAGTAATCAGTTACATTACTTTCAAAAAGTAATCAAATGTAATCAGTTACATTACTTTAAATTAATTGAAATAGTTACACTACTTATTACATTTTAAATAAGGTGATTTGTAATCTGTAACCTATTCGATTTCCAAAGTAACCTTCCGAACGCTTGTTATATACATACAGCTATAATAATTACACATTATGGTATTATTTGTTGCACTGGCTTTAATTTGTGCTGATTTAAACAAAAAATAAAATAAAAAATAAAAAATATTACTTGTTTATAATACCTGTTCTATTACAATTTAATAAGATTTGTCATTAAGAATTATTGGAATTATTAGAAAAAAAAAAAAAAAAGCAACTCAAACTTAAAGTGTAATGGTATTTTAGGCAGGATTTGTTGCCTAAACATAAAGAAAATAATGTCAAATAATGCATTTTCACTATTCCTGAATTACACTAAATACAATTGTATTTTGGATGAAATATGACCTGTTTTCATGGGTTCCACACATATAAGTAGCCTATAGATGATTGCTCAGATGTGTCAGTGTGCTTCAAAGGCAATAAGACTCATGTAGTCAGTGTGGTGTGCGGCGGAGGGTGGATCTCTCTTTTGTTGCCAGTCCTCTCGCTCCCCCTCAGTTCTGCTCCCGTGAGATCACAGCCCACATCCAGCCTCTCTGCTCTCCATCTGTTAGCTCACAGCCCTGTGGTAGCTTCACCATGTTGTTTCCTGTATGACTGTGGAGGAAGGAGGCGCTCTGCCCACTCACACTGACCGGACAATAGTTCACCATCATCTGTCACTCGGTTTGATTGTGATGCTGAGAGTGTTGCTCGTCTCATTGAACATGAATCCTCAGGTGGTGTGAGATCACACATATATATAGAGGACGGGATGTCGCACCTGAGCACATTCATGCTCAGTCATGAACTACTGATGAATATTACTTTCATTTTACAGCACTGATTAAAATATAATAGGCTTTATAAAAGGACGACATATGCAATAATATGAATTATTAATTTTTTAAAAATGTGTCTGGTGTCTGTATACACACACACACACGCACGCATGCACACACACACACACACACACACATGTATAAAACTTTACAAGGTTCAGTTTGTAAGCATTTTTACAGCATTTATAAATCTAGTGTTACGTTATAAATATTCTATAGTAAAAAAATAAAGACATTTACAAAAGATTTCTATTTCAAATAAATGCTGTTCTTTTGAACTTCCTATTCATCCATGAATTAAAAAAAAATGTTTCCACTGTTTCCACAAAAATAAAATTGTTTTTGACATTGATAATAATAGGAAATATTATATAAACACCAAATCACCATATTAAAATAATTTCCGAAGGGTCATGTGACACTGAAGACTGGATTTATAATGCTGTAAATTTAGCTTTGCATCACTGGAATAAATTACATTTGAATATATATACACTGAACAAAATTATAAACGCAACACTTTTGTTTTTGTCCCCATTTTTCATGAGCTGAACTCAAAGATCTAAGACTTTTTCTATGTACACAAAAGGCCTATTTCTCTCAAATATTGTTCACAAATCTGTCTAAATCTGTGTTAGTGAGAACTTCTCCTTTGCCGAGATAATCCATCCACCTCACAGGTGTGGCATATCAAGATGCTGATTAGACAGCATGATTATTGCACAGGTGTGCCTTAGGCTGGCCACAATAAAAGGTTACTCTAAAATGTGCAGTTTTATAACCAGGCCTACTGATCTGAGAAACAGCGGGGGTTGATTCCCTCATATTCCGGTGTGTGTTTTAGGGTGCTGGTGGGAGCATGTGTTAATCAGGGCAGAGATGAATGCTGCTGTATATATGGAGAAGTGAAGGTTGCTGCAGCTGGCTGCTAGATAAGCTGCCGGATTTGTCTAATCTGACAGCTGAGGGTGGAGAGAGGGGTCAAACAGACTCTAACACACACACACACACACACGCACGCACGCACGCACACACGCACACAAGCACAAACAAACACACACTCAAACCCACCCACAGACAGCAGAACTAATGCTCAGTTCCTGTCAAAACTATTGACACAAATTGCTGCTAATCCTCTGAACTATACCTTTGCACTCTAGTCTCTCTACTCGAGACTACAGTAATGCACTTCAAAAAAATATTTCTAATCAATATCTTTGACTTGTTTTCCAGTAAACCATCCACAAAACAAGATCAACCCAGAAAGCAAACACTACTGTCTTAAATTAACATTGAATCAATTAGCAAATATTTTATTCAAAGCATCTAGTCTTGTGTCATGTTTAAGGTATAAGGTATATATAGACTATAGACTAAATATAGAAATATATAGAAAAAAATGTAAATGTAAAAATCAAAATACGCTTTTATACACTATATACTCAACAAACATTCTCTCAAAATGAGTTTTACCTCGTGCAGTTTCACTTCTCAGGCAAGTTTATCTTGCTTTAAATATATATAGGTATTCCAGATACATAATTTTACTGGAAAACAATGTTTATTAATAATACTCTTCTTCAATTACAAAATAATGAAAAAATATTTTTCAAAGAAGATTATTGGAATATGTTTTACAAGAAACATTTCATTTAATATGTTACTTGCGGAGTCTTTGTAATTATTTGTGAAATGTACTAGCAATTTCTGAGTGGAAATTGTTTCTACACCAATTTTGTTTTTGGACATTCAACACTGTGACTGAACGAACAGCAAATCAGAATCAATCAGAGAAAAAAAAATTTTTTTTTTCAGAAACCTTCTTCCTCCGCAGACACTATTTTGTAATAATACACCCTTAAACATAAAGGTCCTATAAGGGGGTTTTCACAGCGATGCAATAGAACAACCATTTTTGATTCCTTTTTTTTTCTAGTGTGAAGAACGTTTAAAAAATCTAAAGATTTTTCCACTATTAAGCAATTCCACTATAAAGCAACTTCCACGGAAGTTATAAGATTTTTCTTGGAACCATATAGATGCCAATAAAGAACCTTGAATTTGAAGAGTGTACTTCTATTCTTTGCTTAGAAAACACTAAGTATTCTTAGAGAGGGGAGGGAAACGGATCCTTTATGGTGACCTTAAAGCATTACAGCTTTGCAGTCATAATCCAACTAGGCTGTCCAAACCCTGATAGCACTCATCTCTCTTCTTCTTAGTCTGGTCTATCGCTTCCGCTTTTGTACTCTCTAAAAACGACACCTACCCTTCCCCCTTCATGCTTCCATCCTCCATTCTGCTCTCTGATCTACACTCTTAAAAATAAAGGTGCTTCAAAAGGTTCTTCAAGCGATGCCATAGAAGAACCATTTTTGGTTCCACAAAGAACCATTCAGTCAAAGGTTCTTTAAAGAACCATCTCTTTCTTACCTGTTTATAATCTGAAGAACCTTCTTTCACCACAAAGAACCTTTTGTGAAACAGAAAGGTTCTTCAGATGTTAAAGGTTCTTTATGGAACCATTTAGACAAAAAGGTTCTTCTATGGCATCGTGAAGCACCTTTATTTTTAAGAGTGTAGTTATTGAATGACAGCTGAGATATTATCTGCCTATATTCAGGGACTTGACCGCATATTAGAAGATCTGTGGGGCCAGAGAGCAAAACGGCCACATTCACATAACTGGCATGGTTATTATCAGTACAGTCTTAGTCCAATTGTCAAATCCTTAAGAGATCTTATGAAATCACAACTGTAGATTTGTGGCTTTTAGTTCATGCATTTTAGCTTTGATGTCATCGATATAATATTAGACTCTTTTGGTCCAAAAAGCATGTATATACATTTAAAATGTACAATATTTCTCTTTTGTGAAAGTGGGCTAAAATTATTGATGATGCATCTTGTATTCTACATTTTTTGTACATAAGAGATCTTATGAAATCACAATTGTAGATTTGTGGCTTTTAGTTCATGCATTTTAGCTTTGATGTCATCGATATATTAGACTCTTTTGGTCCAAAAAGCATGTATATACATTTAAAATGTACAATATTTCTCTTTTGTGAAAGTGGGCTAAAATTATTGATGATGCATCTTGTATTCTACATTTTTTGTACAATAAAATCTCTCTACTGACAACATCCCCGCCCCCTACATTATAATGACCACCTGCCACCAGCAACTAGCAAGTGCAAGAAATTCAGGATTTGTTGGTGCTTTGCATGATTTTTCCCTCCCGAGCAAGTCAAGAACAAACCCCGCCCAGCAGGCGATTTCATTGGTCAGCTCGGTCATGCAGTCACCTGTCAAGAGAAGGTCATACTTCAGATTCAGTTCAGAGTTCAGAAATACTATGGATGGATCTGATCACAGCAAACAGTGATGTTTTCTATCATGATGTGCTACCAATGTTTTTCTAAGGTTAAAGGGTTAGTTCACCCAAAAATGAAAATTGGGCTTTTACTCACCCCCGAGGCATCCTAGGTCTATATGACTTTCTTCTTTCAGATGAATCCAGTCAGAGTTATATTAAAAACTGTAAGACGTAGGGGTTAGTATTTGTTTCAGCATTGTGCAGGCATTCAGCACTGTGACTGACATGAACAATGAAATCTTTAGAAACGGCTATGGGTTTGTGCTTAACTTGTTGGGGGGGGATCATGCATGACACTGGTTACACTAACTTTGCAACCACTTGATGGTTGGGAAAGGAAAGAAAGGAAACGACAATTTCTTTTGTCCATGGAAGAAGCTGTCATGTTCTTGCCAGGCTGTAATATTACATAAATGCTACTGTTTCTGTAACCATAAGTTTTAAATTCTTATTTGCTGAAGCAATTTTTTTTGGATGGCCCTTAAAGAGACAGTCACCTAAAAAGGAAAAAATTGTCATCCTTTACTCAACTCCATGTTGTTCTTAATCTGTATGCATTTGTTTTTTTCTGTTAAACACAAAACAATTCAAGTCTTTTATCCATACAATGAAAGTCAATGGAGTCCAATATCTTTGTGTTCTGCAGAAGAAAGTAAGTCATACAAGTTTGGAATGATCAAGTTAAAGTAAATGACAGAATTTAAATTTTTGGGAGAACTATACTTTTAATAAAGGACTTAAAAGGCAAATAGTCAGTAAATTCTATCAAATGAGCGCACAGAATAAATGAACTCAGCTGAACAAAAATACCACTATTTTCTCCGGTAAAACTGCTTTATAGTTGAAACTGAAGGTGTAGTTATAACCAAACATATTGTTTCCTAATTGAAGAATATTGCAAGATGAACACTGTTTTTTTTCTGTTTATTACTTTAAAGTTGCTTTGAATCAGTCTTTATTGTAGAAAGTGCTATTTAAATGTGAACGCTATCTTTATCTATGACCGTTTTTGCCACTGAATCAATCAAAACCACAAAAACCACATTTTTTGAAGAACAGAAACAAATACGTTCTCTACATTTTCAGTTTTTTATTTTAAGTTCATTCCTTTTAACCACATTTAGCAGTCAACATCAAAGTAGCCCAATTCTTAAAAAGTAACAGCATAGAAATGTCCATTTCTGATTGGATGTAAAACAGACAAAAACCTCTTTCGTTTAGCTTACAAGAGGCAGTACACGTTCAAGGATGACTGTGTGTACGTGTATGTGCGTATGTGTTTATGTATATTTGGAAAGGTGTGAAACACCTGAGACGCAGTCACGATCAGTGGGAATGACTGGCGATGGGTTCCTTTTTAGCAGACCACGTTTGCAATCAGTTTCTGATATAACATCTATTGTTTCCATACATTTGTGTGTCTTAAGGCTTTAGCCGATTCGTACTCTACGTACAGTACATAACCCATATATACAAATCAAAAGTAGTACATCTACCCCCCGCGGTGACATCACTGACTGTGACAAGCACAGCGCCGGGACAAAAAGGGTTCGTGTTATAGCGGGAATTCACATCTGTGTGAGTGACAGCACCGTAGAGTCTTTCACGTAACATTCGTAAGTGCAACACGTTAGCTATGTCCCGCCACTGGTGTTCACAGAAGATGGCGTATGAGAGGACTAAAGCAGATTTGGAAAGTCAAGGGGAAAAAAAGGTCAAACTGCACAGAAAGTCAAGCCTACTTCGGTGGGAGTGGGTCGTGAGAAGCTTCAAGACACCAACAAGACACAATCTTGAGAAGGAAGTTCACTTTTTGTTTGCACTTTTTTAAACACTTGTAACAAAGAAAAACAAGACACAAAAGCATATCAATACAAAAGGGATACAGCCCTAAAACCCCCTGCCCCCACCACCTCCAAAGAGGAAAAAAAGAAAAATCAAACCCTTTCTCTCTGTCTGTAGACAGTGACGTCACAAACAAGCAAACATGTATATATTTATATACAGTACAAACCCCCCCCCTTCCCAAAATACACCGTGCTCTAATGCTCTCATGGCTACAATTCACATAAAATTTATACGTATTTTTTATTCATACATTTTTTGGGGATTTTATTTGAAATGTTCAAAACTACCCAACAGCAGCATTCCGTATGTTAAGAATGAACAATCCAGTTTGTTTTTGGTGCATCTGAAGTTCTAAAAAATGAAAAATTCTACAATTTAAGATCTTAGTTTGAGATGCAACAGTAGATTTCAGTACATTCAAACATACAGATCCTTCAACTAGGCTCTTAAAAAAACCCACCTTTCTCACTAGTGTTATAGAAAAATCAGGCACGATAATAACAGGCTACTCTGATTACCCACTTTCCACAAGCTCAGTGCCACCAACACGTTAACAAATACGTCCCAACCATATTTTTTTTTAATGCAGTTTATCATAAATTTTTATACTTTTTTTAGTCAACACGTTTTCATTTTTGTGCAGGAAAAAATATAGAATGAACGATTTTAGGATGTGTAAAATAGGATATATATTTATACATGTCTATATATAATCAACTACACATTGAAACTAACGATAAGGAGAACCGAAGCAACTAAGCCAATCACTACTTAAATATATTCTCATATATATTTATAGTCTATGTTTTAACATATAATGTGATCAAATATAAATACTTTATTCATATACGTACATATAGGGTAGATATCTCTCTTTTTCTGTCAACTATATACATATCATGACTACATTTAGCTGAAATGGTAAATAGCTGGGCAGCAGGAGTGAAACTGCAATGCAGTGCTGCAGCCATCGACGAACACACACACACACACACACAATGAGCCTGATGGCACAGGAGCAGAGGTCTGTCGCTCGTACAATAGGTAATCTGAAGCCTCAGACCTTTGTGTCGGCGTCTGCAGTCCATGCAATGACACAAACCTCTGCTCTACCATGGAATGTGCTTCTAGAATCGCCCATGGGGCTGAACAGTCGAGAGAAAAGAAAACAGACAAACATGAAGAAAATGCATCACACACACCAAAAACGCCACTGTCCTTAGAGAGAGAGGAAGAGATACCTGAGATCCAGATGTCACAAACCTTCCCACCCTGTTTCATAAACCCAACCCACAAAAACCCTTGAAGAATCTCATGCTGCAAACGCTTCAGTTGTTTCGCCCCACGGATGTAGTATTGTAAAATTCAAGGTGGCAGATAAAGGGCATTTAAAGTAAAAAAAAAGAAAAAAAAAAAAAAAGAATAGAAATGTTCTCTTGCTTGGGATGTCAGGAATCCACCTGTGAGTCCAGTTGAGGGGTGTATCGCTACCGCCCTGATGATTTCGCACAGCATGAGTATTATGAGTGCTTGCTGGGTAAAAAAAAAAGAAAAAGGAAACAACAACACGTCAGTATTCTCTGCCCACGCGGGAGTGTCGGGCGTGCGGGTATTAGACAGTGCAGGTAGATATTTTTTAAGACTAGCTAACACACTACGCCTGATACATCACTAAATTAGCTGCAGTCCCTTCGGAGAGACGTTTTAGAAAACGAAACGACATGACAGCACATCTTTTGACACGAAGTGATCTTTGCCCGTACGGTAGAAGTAGCCCTTTTGCTCTGATCTCGCAGCTTCCCAAATCCGTCCTCGGTTATTACGCAGGATGAGGCAAAACTGGCTTGGGACGAGTGTAAAAAGGCCACTCCTACAGACGTCGTCATCTAAGTGCAAAATATACCATGCTCCGGTAGGTTAGCTAACTGGTCAGGTGACCCAGCCCTGTGTCTGGACGGTACAGTTTTGATTGAAGGAACATAAAGGGCTGCGTAAGACAGCCTGGGTGCGATTGTCCCAGAGTTCGGGAGTGACTAGGCAGTGGGTGTGGTATGGTACACATTCTTCATCTGGCTGTGAGGTCTTTAAGGTTCTCTTGAGGGTCTTTCGGGAATGGGAATGTCTCAAATCGAGTGCCTCTCTCCAGGATGGTGGGATGGGAGTGAAGGCAAATGGATGGGAAGATCTGATTGGACGAAGGCGAGGGGATTGGTGAAGAAGGTCAGCCTTGAGAGGGCGGAGCCTTGGCTGGCCTTTTCTCCCAGTTAGTGCTGCATATATGAGGTCTGGTTGGTGGACGGCACATCCAAAGTCCAATACTTTCTTCGTGCTTCCTCCTCTGGATTCGTCAGAGCAAGAGAAAGACCGTTTGGGTCACAAAGGAGACAACACCGTTCAAGTATTAGAGGAGGACCTGGCCGAAGGTGATTGGAGGTACAGGTTGAAGTGATGGGAGATGAGTGGCTGAGGAACCCGGGGTGGTCTGTGCTCTTATAGACTGCAGCCCAGCACTGGGCTCTTCTCCTGAGGGTTGGCGAGGCGACGGAGACTGGCACTGGAATAGCCTTCATCGCTGCAGCTACTGCGCAAGCTTCCCTGCTCGTCCGAGTCACTTACGCTGCTGGTGGTCCATTCCAGATCTCCCAGCAGATAGTCTGTTCCTTCCACGTCAACATCCACATCTTCTGTAAAGCAAACACAAGGAAAAAAATTTTAGGGTTGTTTGGTGGATATTTCCTCTTTATCATTCCAATGTGTGTAGAGCATCAAAGTGAAAACTAAAAATGATGAAAACTGTGAAAAATTATGATTAATTGCGATTAGATATTTTAATTAACAGCCCTAATATGATGGTATATTGTGAAGGCAAAGTAAATCATGTTGGGGAAAAAATTATCTGCCAAACAACAACACACTGACAGCATCGATAATCATTGATAATGAAAGTAATTTACAGATTTCATTATCAATTGTAGTGACGTCGCTATATAATAGTGTAAAAATACCATTTACAAACATGAAAATTTTATTTTAACAATTTATATGATCATATTGTATTATACAAATGCATATATTATATTCTTAGGATTGTTTGGCAGATATTCCCTCTTTATCCTTCCTATGTCTGCAGTGCATCTCAAAACTGAAAAATTATGAAAAACTATAAAAAAAATTATGAGATTAATCAACAAATTTCATTATCAGTAAGCCGAGTCTATGCACCGTGCACAGGAAAGTGCTATCAGTGACATCACCATACTACAGCGGAAAAAACAAATTTATGTGGAAAACATTTACAAAGGTGTTGAAATCCTAGCAGAAGATTATTTGATGTTAACATTTTATAATATAATATATTTATATTATATTATTTCCACTTAAATATCAAACAATAATAAACTTATAATATATTATTTATGCTTGAATAATAAACATTAACCAGTTTTTTTATATAATTTAGTGATTTATTGGATGATTTAAAAAAAAATTAAAAATACAGAAAATGAAATTTTATTCAATTAATCAAGAAATGACCAATAGGTTGATCAATTATCACAATAATTGTTATGCAGCTCTAGACTAGATGTAAAGGTAAAAACAAGACATTTGCAAACCACCGAAACTACAAAGGTTTGACGGATGATGTTAACACAGATGTCTGAGTGTGTACAAACAAGACTGATCACGTTCTAATCAATGAAGCCATCAACAGTGTACACTAAAGAGTCAGCTTTGTTGATTATAAAGAGAGCAAGCTACTTTTGTTCTGATGTGTCATTCCGCTTGCCTGTCATCTATATTAACATCATCTGTCAAAATTTCCTGGATAATCCTTGTCTTTTGTTACATACGCATAGCACAGTCACCCAGCTTTATGTTGCATTTGTTTCTTTAATATAAAAAAATCTATTCACATGCACATAATTAAAAATTTTGTGGAAACGGCATGGTGCGAGCTGTAATTTCATTTAAAAATTTGTTTTCAGTCGATTGTTATTAAGGTTATAGCATTTTCATGTGCATTTTGAAGAGTGCTACGTTTAGTCAATCTGGCCCATTATCTCCATGGCAACATTCCAATTTAGGTGTTAAAGCATTCATCATGGTGTTGCATGCTACAGTCTGTCTACGTGCCATCTGTTTGTAGGACAGGCCACAGCATACACAAAATAAACTCCTCAAGACAATTACTTGTCTCAGTTCTGGGAAAAAGCATGCAGACTTACTGTATGATCATCAAACCTCCATTGTGTGTCTACAAGTGAACCTGAATCTTGTGTGTGACAGTACATGGCGGTGTACAGTTCTGTAAATGACAACCGGTTCTAGGTAGAAGCATTTCCACTAAAAAAACCTTTTAGAAGCAAGGGCTTCTGGGTATTTTTAAAGAGTTCTTAGAAGCTTCACAAATGGATCTTACATATTTGACCTTGTTGTGTTCAAGTTAAATAATGCACGTATGCCAACGGGACATAAATACATAAAAACAAGTCCAGAGAAGTGTTTTGTGTCATTTATCCAAAACGACTTACAAATGAGGACAATGGAAGCAATCAAAATCAACAAAAGAGCAATGATATGCAAGTGCTATAACAAGTCTCAGTTAGCTTAATGCAGTACAAGATAGTTAACTATTTAAATTATTAAAATAAAGGACTATCACGTTTCTGTTTAATGTGTACTAAATAAGCAGTACAAGGTTTCGACATGTTGCAAAAGCAAACAGTTTAGCTCCCCCGTTTGTTCTCTTGCTTTAAGTTCACATCCATCCACATTTGTTTGACTTCCTGTGTAGTGATCTGTCGCCAATATTCCCATCAGTATTTGTGTTTGCTTTGTTATTAAAACTAATATTTTACATTTAACTTGCACTTACTTTCTTTTACATTGAAATCCAGACTAAAAACACAACTGTTTAGCAGTGCATTTCCTGAATAAGCACAGTACTGCTTCCTACTAATTGCACTCTATCATCTTATTTGATTAATTCTTCTCATTTATTTTCATTTGTTTTCAGGACATTTTAAATACATTTTATTTTGTACTTTTTATTGTTACATTTATTAGTTTAGCATTTGTTCTTGTCTGTGATGATTATTTATTTATTTTTGAATTACCATTGTATATGAAACTCGCCTTGCCTAATATTTCTGAGTATGGCATTTTATGATTTGCAATTGCTACTTTTTTAATCAAGCTCAGGTAATCCACATCTGTCATAAAGTGTCCTGATAAACTAATATAATGACTAGCCCATTTAGTTGGCTGGTATTTAGCCATTCTGAGATTATTGGCTCTGGCCACTGAAACCCTATATTGGCTGACTACTACAAAGATGTAAATCATGGGGGAAAATGTGTCAAAATGCTTTAAATTACAGTTTTATATCTAATGTTTAATGCAATGACGCATTTAAAAATGCTCCAAACAATATCTACTTATTTCTTCTATTTAGAACTGTTTTTATTTACACGAACGTTCACACATGTAACTATAATTAGGCCTAGAACGTCATGTGAGCTCTCTTCTAGGTAGAATATGGTAGTGGTATCTACATCTAGAAGTATTTTAAAGGCTGTTTTTACACTTGGATTGAATCTTTGGTCCAAACTACAGATTAACAAATCAAATTCATAGGCTACTCTGGGATTAAATGTTTACCAGCCCAAATTGTTAACCATTAAGCTACCAAAACCCATTCATTAATGTATGCATCTGGCTCCACTACAAATATGTTTTTGTCAGTTTCATTAATACAAACAGTGGAGAGAAATGTGGGAACTGTCTTCAGTTTGAAACACATTACCTGTTTTACTTCCATGGCTCTGAGTTATGGAGCACACATGCTAAACCGTGTGTTATCTGTTACTTTTAGATGTTTCTAAGACTTTTATACAAGACTTATATACCTTGGTCGGAGTCAGATTTGTCTGAAGAGATGGTGGAGCCCATGCTGTCCATGCGAGTGCGCTCCACACCCAGCTGCTCCAGGCGTCTGCACAGGTGCCTTCGTTCTCTTTGCAGCTGGTCTATAGTGTGCTGGGCCTTTCTCTCGCTATCCTCCAACCTCTGCAAAGACACAGACATGTTTAAAGTCTTATTAGAAAATGCATAGTGCTGCTTCTACAATCTGATTAGATGCACCACATTCAAAGCCGCTATAAAATAAGTAGTGCCTAACAACACCACTTAACTGTGGTAAAATCACAGTAACTACCTCTTGTGACTTACTGCTTTAATATCAGATCACTGCATTTTGGTCTTCTGAGAATCTTCTAATGTTTTCATGCCACCAAACAATATTACCCACCAATGGGATGTTGGCACATACCTTGATGTGATCCTTAGCCCTCATAAGTAGGCTGAGGGTTGTGTGCCTGTTTGAGTCTGGTCCTAAGGGCACGAGGGATTTCAAGCGTTCCAAACACAGTCGTAAATGTGCTCTCCTGGGTTGGTGACGTGAGGAAAAGAAAGAAAAAGAAAGTGAGTCATAAAAGCAATTAATCTACAACAACACTTTCAATACGCAGTAGCAACAACATGAACCATAAAAATAAGGAGAATGCGACTACGATCTGCAAAGTTAACACATTTCAGTTTGTTCCTCTCATAAAGGTGGATTAAGAATTCAAAAGACTTGAAGTATAATGCATGAGTCATATCGAGTAGTTTTATCATACTTTTATGGTGCTTGTGTGACATTTTTTTGAAGCTTTAAAGCTCTTTATAATTGCAAGGGGGAAAACGAGCACAAACAAGCTAATTCTTCAAATATTATCCTTTTTCTATTACACAGAAGAAAAAGTAATGAGATTTGGACCTAAAATGATTTTTGGATAAACAATTTTTTAATAATATGAAATGCTAAGCATGCCAATTAAAACAAAGCCCATGAATGTAGTAAAAAAACTGTAAAATACACCAAGACATTATCATTCTGACATTCACATCTAATGGTATGAATCTAACAAATAAATGTTATTCAAATAAGGATCGTTAAATTGATCCTCCAAACGCTACTCTAGCTTCCTCCGTTTCTTGTGCGTGCCAGCGGGATTCACAGCTGCTGGGGTGTGGTGATGATAGGTGCCAGCAGCCACATGACCTGTTACGCAACCTGCCAGAAACTGCAGACTGCTTTGCTTTGCTGCTGTATTTGTACGGAGGCGTGGGTCATAACCCAGCTATTTTACTGGTGCTTCTCAGCGGCTGAGTATGAACGTCTGTGTGTTAGCAATGCATGTTCTGCCAACAGATAAGTGTGTGCGTGTTGGCTGTGGGCAGCTCTTTGTAAGCTACTATAGTTAATCATGTATTAATTTAAATATAGAGAATATAACAAGAGGATGTCAAATGAAAGGAGTTATTTTGCCATATGCAAATGATGGGCAGATCATGCAAATTGGGAGATCATAAACACAGAACTGCTGTGAAAACTAAACTCAAATACTATTCCAAACTTATAGAAAGATTTAAAACGTACAAATAACAATTATTCCAGTTGTACTAAAATACACACTAAAACAGCTATAATGTGAATAAAAAATGCTTCACTTCTTGGTTTTACATAAACGGGTATATACAGTAAAACCAAAATTTATTCAGTCACCTCCAACATTTCACACATTATCACAGTTTATTCGCTATAGTTTGGAAAATGGTAATAAAATATGAGTTAAACTGTGTCAGAAATAATTAATCTTGATAATGTCTGATAACACTTAAGCAAAACATGGTCAGTTCAAAGTGTCTGAATAATTTTTGGTCTAAAGTTTTATCAATTGTACTGATAGTCCACTGTATGAAGAATTTTTGGGTATAATATGCCACAGTTTACTTTATTTTGCTATCCTCACTTACAACTGTTTTTTCATGAATGTTGCAGCTGCAGTTCAAGGCTAGTTTAAAGCAAATCATTAAAATGAATGCGCAAACACAGGGTAATAGAGAGCAATACCTTACTGCTAAAGGACAGGTTGTGTGTACACCTGCCTCTCCAGTGAGACACGTACACATAAACATTCACTGATGAACACACCCAGAAAAAGGGTAATGTTTGCACCACTGCTCGTCGCTTTCATATAGAGTCCGAAGGTTGGGAATACTATTACATAACTTCAGAATCCACCACCAAAGTGGTGACATAACCTAGTGGCCTGGTGTTTGTTAAGCAAATACAGACTGCGTGTGCCATCTGACATTTATACACAAAGAGTGTTGCTGTCACAGGGTCAGTCACAGTGCGCTCAGATTTGTTTAGCTTTCTCATCTGCTTTCTCTCCTCATACAAATTTGTTCAATAGTTTAGAGTCGATAAGATTTCTTTTATTAAGCAAGGATATATTAAATTGATCAAAAGGGACATTTAAAATGTTTAAAATGATTTCTATTTCAAATAAATGCTGTTCTTTTGAACTTTCTATTAATTAAAGGAATAGTTCATCCAAACCTGAAAATTTGCATAAGATGTACTCATCCTCAGGCCATCCAAAATGTAGATGAGTTTATTTTGTCATTATTTAATCAAATTCAGCATTACTGTATTCATTAGCTCACCAATGGATACTCTGCAGTGAATGGGTGCCATCAGAATGAAAGTCCAATCAGCCGATAAAAATATCACAATAATCCACAAGTGCCTCACATGATTCCAGTTGATCAATTAACATTTTGTGAAGCGAAAAGCTGTTTGTAAGAAACAAATCTATCATTTACCAGTGTTTTAACTTTAAACCATTGATTCTGGCCAAAATACCAGTCCTTAATCCATAATAACGGTTCCTCCAGTGAAAAAGTTCATCCCCTTGTCCTCTCACATCAAAAACCACCGACATAGTTGTTTATAACTGTTTTGGGCTGTTTTTGCTTATAAACAGTGCTTGATCTGTGCATATTTCTCTCCTCATTCAGACTAGATGAATTTTCACTGGAGAAAGCAAAATTATGAATAGAAGACGCTAGGGGTGACCCCGAATAGTCGAAGATTCAGTGCTATATTCCTGTTTTTACTGTATTTTTAACCCTTTGAGGTCGGCAAACGTGCCCCTGTGTTCAGTGGCATTTTTTCCTGATAATGCCGAAAAGAACTTAAATTGGAGGATAGCATTTCTAAAAAGTAATTTTTTTATTACTTGCAATAGTTATTGTGTTATTGTGACATAACTTGTACACATTTTACTAGTTTTTCCAAAACTATAATTCCTGACTAAAATGCATGAAATCAAGTGAAACATTCTGAAATGTTTCCATTCGTTACATCTGAATGTCGTACAACGCAAGGATGTTTTTTAATGTTCTATAAAATATAAAACAATACTATATAAAAGAAATATGACTGTTTAGACTGTAACACTATGAATGTTAGTGTCTTAAGAATGTTTAGACCAGGGTTCCTCAAATCTTGCACTGGAGGACCAATGAGCTGTTTAGCTCCAACCCTGATCAAACTCACCTACCTGTGATTTCTAATGATCCTGAAGACATTGATTAGCATGCTCAGGTGTGTTTGATAAGGGTTAGAGCTAAACTCTGCAGGGAAGTGGATCTTGTGGGCCAGATTTGAGGATCCCTGGTTTAGACCAGTGGTTCCCAACCCTGGTCCTGGAGGCACCCCAACACTGCACGTTTTGCATGTCTCCTTAATCAAACACACCTGATTCAGGTCATCAGCTCATTAGTAGAGACTCCAAGACCTGAAACTGGTGTGTCAGAGAAAGGAAACATGCAAAATGTGCAGTGTTGGGGTGCCTTCAGGACCAGGGTTGGGAACCACTGGTTTAGACCAATGTTTACTGTGAAATACTCTGTCCGCGAATATCTGTTTTGTTAAATGTATTTTCTCAGATATAAAATGTTCTGTTTATATTGTATGATAATACATACAAAGCATGACTGTTTGTGACTACAAAATCAAATTTTTTTTGGTAGTTATGAGTGGGCAATATTTGTGATTGCTAATGTAATAATATAGTTGCTCCTGATATCACCATGCTAACAGATGTTTTTTTTTTGGTGACCAGATACCTTGAAGACTTCACTTCAAACTGTTTTTCTCCGAGAGTGCTGTACCAACATCAGATGTTCAACTACACTGGGCTGATATTCTACATCAAAACGGTAAAATAAGCTCCATGACTACCGATGATGGAGCTGTTTTTTATTGAATCCATGGAAAGAAGCAGCAAACACTTTGGAAATACCAGGTATGGTTTGGTTTACTTGTTTCAACAGTTGAACAGGATCTGTTTCAGGAATGGCACAAAGGTGTGTGACTGTTCAAGTCTCTGTGTTTAGATCAGTGTGCTCAATAATGTGTCTTTGACCTTCATTATGTATATTTTGATTATACTTCGTTGTAAATAAAATACAAATAATCAAAAACCCCATTGTTTTAATCTTCTCACATTCTTTCTTACCTGCCTCACAGTCACTCTGATGGGCCATTAGGGGAGGGCCCTTTGTCTTTCAGGTGCCTATCACATAAATATTCATGGCCATTGTCACTCCCTCACATACGACCTTTCTAACACAAAACATGTCTTACAAAAGTTAAATCAATATATATATTTTTTTTGTGTGAATGAGAAGGCAGGATGATTTTTCACTAACCACACCAACCTTATTTTCAGCAAACCTTATTTGCTCAGAAATACAAACATGTACATACATACATACTGCTTACATATTCTTGTAGCACAGTTTGTGCTGAATACAGTGTAATCAGTCTTTAGCCATTAATATGTTTTTAAGATACTGAAAAAATGTCAGTGCATGTCAAAACTTCTCCAGCCTTGCTGGAGCCTTGGTGAGCAAAGAGACTTCTTTTAAAAACATAAAAAAAATGACACTGACCCCAAACTTTAGAATGGTGGTGTATATGGAAAAGCTTATTCCCAGTCAGGAGTCACGACATGCCATGTCTCTGTACAAAAAAGACCACCCCAGTTCTGTAGGACACTGTGTATCTGTTCAACCATGATCCTTTAATCAGGTCACCCTCTCTTTATTTGAGCCATTGAGCATTGAGACTTTTAGCATAAATCACCATCCTCTACCAGCCTTTGACATCTGACCTCTAAGTAATTGTCTTAACCCCACTGGAGAACTGTACACGCCATGTGTATGTGTGGCGACCTGGAGCTCAGGTTACACATCTAAAACCTCTCTCAAGACAAACAGGCCATGGGTATGCAAAGTCCAACTTGAGAACAAACACATCGCCTCGAAGGCAAACCTAACCTGTGGTTCTGATTGAGATGGTGTGTGTGTCTGCTATTGTGGCTGCTGTTGACAGAACGAACACAGCAGCTGTTTGCGTATTCTCACTGGCAACTATAAAAAAACAGCCTTTCGCTCTGCCTATAGGGTAAGCGTGTATGACATGTGGCCCATAACTGGTGCAGGGTGAAAATGCATGGCATGTGTGACATTGAGGTCACTGGGACAGTTTCACATGATACAGGTGTGTGACATTTTACATGACACTGATTCACCCCAAAAGCTGGATTTCTGAGGGGCATTTCAGGTGAGATTTTAACTTCCACAACAGCTGTTTTATTTAAATGTCACAGTGCTAAACTATGAGCCAGGTAGGGCTGGGTATCGTTCAAAAATGTTCGATATCGATACCGATACCTTGACTTCGATACCGGTTCCTGAACGATACTTTTTTCGATACCAACTTAATGACAGTTGTCATAAACATGCATAAAACGTATCCCAAACTTTTGAATGGTAGTGTAGATCTGCTAACCAATGATTCGACTTGAAAGTCGAACAATGATGTAACTGATTGTTACAACATAACCAGTCCACAAATATTTATAGCTAGTTACTCAGTTACTCCTTATACTTGTAGAGAACATATTTCAACAAAACATACAGTTCAGCTTATTTACAACATCATAAACTGACTTTGATGTAATGACTAATGACAAATGACAACTAAATTCATAGTAATTAATTCACACATAAATTATATAAATATAAAATAAAATGTACATAAAATAATATAAAATAAAATAAATCTCTACCAAGTAAAAGAGATAGAGTGAGAATGGGATCAGGAATGAGTCAGATTCATACTCACATTGTCCACACAAGCACTACCTTCTAGGCCATAGTACTACACTTGTTATATTTTTTTGAACCAAAGAGGTTCACGACCACATGAATCATTACTACACAGCCGTGCTGGTCTCACATCAGACATGTTGCCCATTTATTCAAATCTGCATCACAAATGCACTCCCACTCAAGTAGCTTTATGAATATCAGCCCTGGACTCCATTTTGAAACAAAAGCAGAGACATGGGGTGCCTCGCTTTCCTTCTTTGGCTGGATTTTTTTTCTAAACAGGAGATGAAAGACGCTCTTCAGAAATGAACAGCGGATCAGTTGTCCGGAGCACTGTGACCTCAGAGCTTTGCACAAGATTGGTCTGATGTACACAGAATGAGACGCACTTTGCCAAGCACGAATGGGAGTGTAGTGCGACTTAAGCCGAATGCATTGTTAGGAGTTTAAAAGTCAAAGTCCAGACACCCTGGTTTTGCTCATTGCTAAGCCTGACAGCATGTATTATTCAGCGCCTTCGGCAAGCTGAGCTCAGTGTGCGTGTTACCCAAACCATAGAGCGCTGGTGACAGAGACATTAAGCCTGGTTCATTAGCGAGATCTTTCTCGTTCGAAATATCAGGTTACCCATTTATTGAAGGTTTATCACTAGGTCAAAGCTGAATGGATACATCATCCGATTGACTGACCTTAATACTTATCTCTAAGCATTATCTGGGTGCTAGTGGAAAAGGCTCCAAAAAGACTAAAAGTAGCCATTTGGTCACATTCCCTGGTTGTTTAGCTTTCAATTACAGAAGTTTAATCTTAATCTAATCAATAAGGATGTAATGAGGTATAATCCTGCAATTTTACAGATAAGAACTAATGACTGTGACAATGCCATGAAGGTTATATGGACATACCTGTTCTTCTCCATTTCGTTGTGTGTAGACCTGCAGAGACAGAAAGACAGAGATGTTAGGAATCACTGTGCTTATTCTTTTTTATCTGCACTAACATTTAGCACTTGGCAGATGCTTTTATCCAAAGCAACATATATCGGATTGGGAATTTCTCGGGAATCAAATCCATGATCTCTGCGTTGCTAGCTCCATGCTTTACTGTTTGAGTTAGAGGAATGCAGACTAAAGGGATAGTCATTAATGACATTATTTATTTACCCTCATGCCACTCCAAACAAGTATGAATTTCTTTCTTCTATTGAACACAGAAGACAGATATTTTGAAAAATGCTGCCACTAACCACTTTCGGATCCCATTGACTTCCATAGTATTTTTGTATATACTATAGAAGTCAGTAGGACCCGAAACCTACAGAATGGCAGAATTTTCATCTTTGGGTGGACTATACCTTTAATAATGTTGCATCAGTATTATCCTAACCCTATTGCTTAAATTTAGGTTTAGAGATTTGCACAAACCCCGAACCCTAATATTAAACTTCAGCGAGTAACTCGTGCTACAGACATGAATGATACCTCAAATCATGCCGTTTAGAAAGGAGAGGTGCTTTAATTCTTTTCTAAGTGATCAGGCTTGTGATTTTCACCTGGTGGATGATAAAACAGGTGCGAGAGGCTCTTTTGATGTGGACCAACTATATAGCAACTACTGTAAACACTTGCTGAAATAACCTGGCAGACACCCACAACACCCTAGCATCATAGTTTAAATTTTCTACGGAAAAATGTTAAAATCTAGTTTTTACGTTCAGTCTTTATTTTAACAAGGAAGTGAGAGAGGAAACAGGAAATGAAAGCGAGAGGGAATGTGATTGACCCAGAACACCCCAGGAACCACATTAGCAACATGCTAAAAATGCACTCAGAACACCTTAGCAACAAAATAGCAACGAATTTCACATTTACTTTATTTCATTTGGTTTTCTAAAAACTGGTCAGAAATCACTAGATTAATTGCAATCATTTAATTCTACTGACAGCACTAGTTTTTAACCAACTGACTAAAATAAGCATGCCAAAAAATCTTTTTAAATTAGTTTAAAAATATTACAATAATTTAAAAGTAATCATTTAATATATAAATATATAAAAATTTACATCATATATAAGTGTTTACTCATACATTGTCAACTACCAAAAAGCAAATATTTTACAAATAATATTTCACAATTTACTATTTCTTAACGTAATTTAACAAAATGACAATTCAGAAGCCAATTTCTTCATTTTGGAGAAAAATTCATACTTAATATTTTACATATACATTTTTTACGTTTTTAAACATAAGAAATAACTCCGCTTGCAAGGGGATCATTATATCTGGGCACTCTTGGCATCTAAACATTTAAAACCCCCTGAACTAATCAACAGGCCTCCATGTTCTTAGGATTGAAAGGCACAAAGAGACTGTCCTGTGCTCACTGCTGATTTGAATGTTCAATACAAAGGTGAACTGGTGTCCCTGTGTGTGTGTGTGGCGTACAGGTACAAACTCCAAAACGGCAGAGGGATTTTAAGGGCCAGTGGGCTGTTTAGTGGATGCAGGAGTTCCCAAAATGCTAATTGCTGATTGCAAATGTACCCTGTCCTCTCTGTGTGTCTCTCTCTCTCTACGTTCGCAAAAAACATAGAGGCCCTTGGCCCTGCTTAGCAACAGTAACTAAAAACACAAGCCTGAGACACAAGACGGCGGTGGGGGGTAGAGTCCTCACACACCATGTGAATGAAGGCTCACTTCAGAGAGGCCATTTCTAGATCAACAGAGAAGTGAAAGAGAAGCAAAGCAGAGGAGGGCAAGAGAAAAGATGAGGGAAAACAAGACCTCAATAGAAAGAGTCCAATGTCTAGCTTTCACTGCCTTCAAGTCATGACACAATTATCATATTCAGCACACAAGAACGCCACCACAAAGTATTAACAACCATCGGGAGGATGTTTTCTGTTGAAAATGTGAATATTGACTGGAGAATTTTGATTGCTTACATTTTATGTACTGCTGAAAAAGGATCAAACTAGCCCGAAAATATAAGGTGGCAGGTTTATGCAACCAAACCACATTTTATTCTCTGTGGCACCATGAGAACGATCAAATACACCAATTAAGCTTTACTTACACAACTAATGCACATCTTTTGCTCTCAATTTACTGTATTCTTACTAAAAATAATTCCTTTCTTTGTTGGGAAGTGAAAAAGAGAAAAATACACTACTGTTTCTGAAAAAATTATCTTATGTTCACTAAGGCTGCATTTATTTGATAAAAAATGCTGTAAAACAGTAATACTGTGAAATATTATTACAATTTTAAATAAATATTTTCGATTTTAATATATTTTAAATTGTAATTATATCCTGTGAATAAGAAATGTTTCTTGAGCACCAAAACAACATATTAGAATGATTTCTGAAGGATGATGTGGCACTGAATGATTATTTGATGAACACAAATGTCAAAACAACAGCATTAATTTGACATTGTAATCTTTTATAACATTATAAATGTCTTTACAGTCATGTTTGATGACTGAGTCCTTGCTGAATAAAAGTACTAACTGACCCTAAACGTTTGAACAGTAGTGGAAATATGAAAGTAAAAATGAAATACATGAAATCAATGTTATTCCAACAAAAACCACTTGTAAATCACATAAATTATGATTTCCATAGTGAAAAGTAAAATCCAGGAAACGTGAAGGCAGTATTTCTACATGACAGTAACTCAACACTCTTGTCCAATCAAATCAGTGGACTGGAACAGTATATAAGGTGGATTTGCATAAATGTACACATACACTCCCTAAAACTGTCCAAGAGATTACATGATGAGCACTAGAGCATGGGTCAGAACGTAGAACAGAGCAAACGGAAGACACTGTAAAGAGTACTGGGACTCGAAAGGGAAGCTTGGAAGGATCGTGTCATCTTCCTCACATTCATCCATCCTTCAAACTGACCTCATGACCCCTTCTGCAGTAACCCTCACTCTAAAAATACCTCTGATGTCTGAGCAGAAGATATCTTCTCAAGTCAGCATCTCAAAATCCCTGTACCCCTTTAAAGGAGTAGTTCACTTCCAGAATAAAAATGTCCTGATCATTTACTCACCCCCATGTCATCAAAGATGTTTGTGTCATTCTGTCTTTAGTCGCAAAGAAATTAAGGTTTTTGAGGAAAACATTCCAGGATTTTTCTCAATAATGGACTTCAATGGTGGCCAAAGGGCTGAAGGTCAAATTGCAGTTTCAATGCAGCTTTAAAGGGCTCCACATGATCCCAGCCGAGGAATAGGGGTCTTATCTAGCTAAACAATCAGTAATTTTCTAAAAAAAACAACAACATTTATATACTTTTTAACCACAAATGCACATCTTGTAGTAGCTCCAACATGCACGTCTGCAAATTTACGCATTACTTAACACTAGAACTACCAAGGCAGTCATTTTGACCGTTTTTAAATTTTAAAATGTAATAACTTTGTAACCTAAATGTTACTAAATGTTTGTAATGTTTATAACCTAAATGTGTGTATATTTTATTATAACATTGTAATTTTATTAAAATTACAAAACACAAAAGAGTTCTGAGTATTTCTACCTTGAATGGCCAAAGCGGTCAAATTGACCGTTCGAATTACAGAAGGTGTATAATTTCTGCTTTTGCGACTTTTTTCCCCATGGTTGAAGATGCACGTCACTGTTGCCTATCAACTTTTTTTTCTAGTTGTTTTTATATTCTATTGCTAAGCTAAATTCCTGTTCGTAAAAAGCTGGGTGGACACCTCCAATACAACAACTGCTGTCATTCAATCTGCCACAGTTAGGCTATGCTAGGCTGGAAGACTATAGCCTGGCTGTTATCAATAATAGTCTACTTCAATGTTATGACAAAATAGCCATAATAATAATAATAATAATGGCTATTATTATTTTTATGCTAGTGTAATGCTATAGCTAATGCATATAGGCTAATTTTAGCCCCAACAAGACTGATATTGTGAAATAAAACAAACTAATTAGGCTTTTATTTTTAGCAACAGTGACGATGTTTATTATTACTATCATAACAGATCCATTTATTCATGGATGACGATTCCAGTGGTGGCTGCATAGAATTGTTTCCAATTCATCTGATTCAAACATTTCCAATAAATCCAGAGCGTTGTAAATTACAAAAGTAAAAATGTATTGAAAAAAGATGTATGTAATCATTTTCAAAATTCACAACATGTTTTATCTACAGAAATATTCTGCTTCAGTTCATATTTGTTGGCATTTAGACTTTCAAATACAACATTTTCACTGCGGTGAAAAACGTTTTTTCTCCCGCATGCCGGACACAAAACAAGACGCGCACATTCCAGAGCGGTCAACGTAGCTCTTACTCAATTAAATATTACAAAAAAAATATATATATACGTCATAAAATATGAAAACAGACATTCAAAGCTTCATTGTAAAAACTCAAAAGAAGCTTCGAATGTAAATATGATATGACAAAAATGGCATTCAGTTCAGTCTAGTATGAATGGTCAGAATGACCGCTATGGCCATTCTAGTAGTTATAGAATTCCGGTAGTTCTAGTGTTTTTCTCCCGCATGCCGGACACAAAACAAGACGCGCACATTCCAGAGCGGTCAACGTAGCTCTTACTCAATTAAATTTTACAAAAAAAAAAAATATATATACGTCATAAAATATCAAAACAGACATTCAAAGCTTCATTGTAAAAACTCAAAAGAAGCTTCGAATGTAAATATGATATGACAAAAATGGCATTCAGTTCAGTCTCTAGTATGAATGGTCAGAATGACCGCTATGGCCATTCTAGTAGTTATAGAATTCCGGTAGTTCTAGTGTTAATCACTTTGGAAAGGTCACGCGCAGTTAGCTCTTTGTTTGTGTACTCCTGTGTATGACATGGGGGTGAGTAAATTATCAGGAAATTTTTATTCTGGAAGTGAACTAATCCT